AAATGGGGGTCCGCGGACCACTGGTGGTCCGCGACCTATATTTTGGTGGTCCGCGGAGCATTCTGTCCAGTTTACACCAGAGGGAGCTTATCTGACACGAGCACAGCCCATGACTTTCGCGGCGGAATCTGCACAGCCCTATGTGCGTCAGTCATGAGACGGCCGCGCGTGCTGCTGAAGGCGCATTGGATACGAGACGTGATTGTGTATGTACCTGTGCTCTGCGTGTCGAAGTTTCACACACCACACGCCGAGCGAGCAGATGATTCCGTCTCGATTTGGAACGTCCGTTCCTAAATATTTGTGCTTGGGTATCGCGCACATGGGTTCAGTCGAATGTGTACGCGCCGCGGACTGTTCGATCGAGAGTGAGCTCGAGCCTGGCTTCTAGCCTTGTTTCCGGAAGGCGTCACCCAAGTTCATTGAAGAATCCCCAGCAGTTTCCTCGGAATGGGCGGGAAGAGTCAGGCCAGAATCCAGAGCTTCTTCAGGAAGCGAAAACACGTTTCCGCGGACGCCGATGACAACCCATCTTTTGGAGAGCTAGCCACTGAAGGGGAAGTACGATATCCTGTTATTGACTTGGAGGAAGAGGCCATGCCGTTAATTGAGTCGGAGATACAGATATCTGGGACCTCGAACTTCTCTCCGGTCAGGATAGGTGGCAGAATAGCGGCATCGGGGAGGCCGAAAAAGCAGTACAAACGCACGCGGAAGTACGATGCGAGCTATCTCAGATTCGGATTCATTCAAGAGCCCGGTAGCGAATTCGAGCCTAGGCCGCTGTGCATTGTTTGTTCGGAGTGCCTATCGAATGAAGGAATGAAGCCGTCCAAACTTCAGAGGCACCGAGATTTGAAACATCCCGATCTGGCTTGCAAACCGTTGGAGTACTTTCAGAGAATGCGAGACGAACTCAAGCAGCAACAGAATTCAATGAGAAATATGACCCTTGGTGACAATAACTCCCAGATGAGAGCCTCGTATCTGATATCGCTCGAAATCGCGAAGAACAAGAAAGCATACGTCATCGGCGAGGAATTGATAAAACCATGCATCCTACTGGCGAGTCAGGAGGTGATCGGACACGACGCTTACCAGAAACTCAGAGGTATCTCCCTGTCGCGCAACACGGTGAAACGGAGAATCGAGCACATGGCCGATAACATCCAAGATCAAATTATCGATTTGGTCAAGAAGTCGACATTCTACTCGATCCAGATCGACGAGTCAACAGATCTGACGAATAAAGCCGTATTGGTCTGTTTCGTCAAGGTCGAACACGACGGAGAACTCTTGGAGGAACTTCTCTGCTCTGTGGAACTGCCGGGTCGGACAACTGGCTCCGAAATATTCCGAGTCCTTGACGGCTTTTTCGAAGATCATAGCATACCGTGGAAGAACTGCATTGGGGTATGCACGGACGGAGCCGCTAATATGACAGGACGTCTGATGGGTTTCACAGCAAGAGTCAAGAAGGTCGGACACCCCAACTTGCTGAGCACCCATTGCATCATACATAGGGAACAACTGGTTGCGAAACGACTCTCTCCACAATTGCACAGCGTTTTGTCTGATGTGGTCCGCATTGTGAACGAGATTCGTTGCAAACCATTGAATTCGCGTATCTTCGAAGCTCTCTGTGAGGAAATGGGTTCTCAGTTTTCCCATCTCCTCTTGCATGCAGAAGTCAGGTGGTTGTCTCGTGGGAGAGTTCTCAATCGACTTCTTTCTTTGTTGCAAGAAGTTAAGGTATTTTTCCAGCAGCAGAACAATTCGACGTTCCTTGCTATCATGTCCGATGTAGATTGGAAAGCCAAACTATCATACTTGGCCGATATTTTCTCTCATTTGAATGAGCTGAATTTATCCTTACAAGGGAAGCATTGCGATATGTTCACGCTGCGAGCGAAGATTGACGGCTTCCGTAAAAAACTAGTTCTTTGGCACGCCGCAGTCTCAGAGAAAGATTTTCCGATGTTTCCTAATTTCGATGAGTTCTCGAAGCAGAATCACCTCAGCGAGGGAGTGGTCGTAATCGTCCGGGAGCATTTACAAACCCTCATGGATTTGTTCGGTAAATACTACCCGGAGCAAGAAGATCCCAGAAATGGCAGTCTCTGGATTCTGGATCCGTTCACCGCGAAAATTGACGACACGAATTTGTGCATGAAAGGGAAAGAAAGCTTGCTGGATCTCGCTTCAGATGCGAGCCTGCAGATGAAGTTCCACGCTTCGTTGTCGAGAGCTCATTTTTGGCTCGGAGTTGGACAAGAATACCCGATGCTGAGCGCGGAAGCGATGAAGATTTTGGTGCAATTCTCCACAACTTACCTCTGCGAGAAAACGTTTTCATCTGTCACTGCCATCAAGACTAGATATCGGACTTCCCTCGAGATGCACGCGGAACTTCGACTAGGAGTTACGAATCTAGCGCCTCAGATCGACGCGATCTTGTCGTCGAAGCAAGCACAGGTATCGCACTAATTCTATTTATACACGTTAACGTAGGTTGCGTGAACGTTCTTAATTGTTTTCGAACTCGGAGTCCATGGAGATTGTGAAAACTCCTGCGCAGCTCCTCTTTGCTATCTCTATCATGCTTGTATTTCGAAGAGGTGAAATATCTGGTGCTATGAAGATAAATTAAGTGCATTCTTGATGTATTCTGGCCCCCTTCTTCTCGCGTTCTGATTTTAAAACGGGTGACCTAAATTTTGGTGGTCCGCGGGGTCCGTCGCCATGACTTTGGTGGTCCGCGGGACGAAAAAGGTTGGCCACCCCTGGTGTAGAGTGTCGTTAAGCGATAGGAAACCCTTCTCTTTCGCCGAGGCATCGAAAACTATTCGTAGCTTCGTGGTGAGGCTTTCCTCTTTGACCACCTCCCTGTGTGGGAGGTAGGACACTGGTCCAACGGGTCTTTGATTTTCATCAACTGGTTCGATGAAATTGAGGTCCAGGAGTGATTGTACTTCGGTTTGATACTTCTGTCGGAGTCCACGCCTGTCGAGGCTCTTGGTCAAGGCTTTCAACCTAGCTGTAGCGATGGAGAGATTCTTCCCTGGTTGCAAGCCGTCTTTGAATGGAAGGGCAACCGTGAATCGATGATTCTTCGGGTCGAATTTCACTTTTTCCATGAACTCATTGATGAACTGATCCGCTTCTTCTCTGGGCTCGTTCTCGATTGCCATGGCGTCTGCTTCTATGAACATACGCACCCGTTGTTCGAAATCCGGACGCGGCTCGAGTGGTGTCATTTGCGGTACACTGGTGAGCAGGCATGGTGTTTCCGCGAAATTAACGTCAACCGTCGCTCTCGCTTTGCCATTGCGAGCTCCGAACAACGCCCATCCAAACGCGGTCTCCACTAGTTCGAGTGTTTTCCCTAGTCTGTGAGCGTTGTGTGTCTGTACGCCCACGAGTTGATCTGCTCCGATGAGAATGTCGATCGGTTCTTTTGAGTTGTAGTTATCGGATAGCGCGATGTTCATTCTCTGGAGTTGTTCTTCGGAAGTCGCGTCGATTTCGGGTTGGATCTGCCCTCCGCATATATTGTCCAGGGTGAAGAACTTGAAATGGTTGGCCGGTCCGCCTCTGACGTGTTGCAATCTGAAGCTGACGGCTGATGTTTCCGTCAGAATTGTCGCTTGCTTCAGCATCTTCAATGATATGGGAATTGTGTCGAGTTTTTTCCGGTCGAAACCTAGTTGCTCGACGACCTGGTTCCTCGCGAAGGAAACCTTCGACCCCGAATCGAACAGTATTCGGACCTCTCTCTTCTTTCCTGATGGCCCTATAGCCATTGCCCGAACAGTTATGTAGTACTGCTTCTCATCGGTTGCACTAGCTTCCTTCTGGCAGTGTCCCGCGAATGTTTCCATCGAGCTGCAAAGCGGTGTCATGTGACCCCTCTGCTTGCATTTGATGCAGAACGGCGAGCTTCGGCATGAGCTCCCTTGGTGACCCCTCTTTGAGCATGTCGAACAGCGGTTTTCTCTTGTGAGCATTTCTCGTTTCTTCTGGATGCTCATCGATGTGTCGAGACATGCCTGTGTCCTGTGTTCGGCTGATTTGCAGAATACGCATGGAGACTGGTGGACCTGTTCGGCGCTCGTGGGTGTTCGGAATGGGGTACTCTTCTTGTGAACCGTCTTGAGTTCTGTTTTAAGCGCGAACGCAGATGGTACCGTGCGATTCGCACCGGATGTCTGCAACTGTTTGAGCTGCTGCTCGTTGATGTCATCTAGGTCCGACACAACGTCCTTGATGAAGGTTAGTAATTTGTCTAACTGTTCCGTCGAGATTATGGTCGAGGCTGATGTTCCGTTGGCCGCGTTCGCCCTCTCGATTCTGCTCGATATCTTGAACTCGAGGTAGACGTCAACCGGCACGCTCTCTTTCAGTTTTGGATAGAAGAACGGAGTGATTGAGTCTCTTGGTAATCCGATTCTCTCCAGGGCGGCTATGCTCGTGTGCACGACCTGAAGGAGCTCTCGTAGTCCGGATCTGTCGTAACGGTTCGCAATGGGCTTGAGTGTCATCAGTCGCTGGGTGTATAGTGCGCGAAGCTTGTCTACGTTGCCGAATTCTGCTTTGAGACGGTCCACGGCTGTTTGGTAGAATTCTTCGTCGACTGGAATAGTCTTGAGTCGCTCCTTGACTTCCCTTGACAGGTACTGCAGTAAGTAGTCGTATTTCGATCTGTCATTTAACTGCGGGTCGTTTTGGATGCGATCTTCGAAACGTGCCCACCAGGGCAGCCAATTCTCAAGTTTCCCGTCGAAACGATCCATTTTCAGGTGCTCGAGTTTCCTCGCGTTTTTCGAGGAACCGCAGCACTTCTGGTCTGCACCGACGGGGTTTTTATGATCGCTCGAGTTGTGAATGCCCTTCGCTGTTTTTCGTTTGTCGATCGCCTCGCGGAGCTGACAAACTATGAATCTGGTCTCGAGATTCAACGTATTCTGTTCCTGCCTGTCCCTTCTAAGCTGGTTGATATCGAACATCTCGTTCCAGATCTTCTCGTTGATTCTGTTCAGCTTGTCGGAGTGTACTGCCAGGAACTCTAAACTTGCTTGGAGTGTCGCTGCGGTAGTGTCTTCCTTGCTCATCTTGTCGATGACGAACTTCGATAATTGTTTGATCTCTTCGACTAAGAGCGTCCTTTCGGCGATCAATCTGCTTTCTTCAGACGTTTTGTTCTGATTGTTTCGAGGGTCATGGTTTTCGTCACTTTTCATGATTCCCTCCTCGTTGAAGGTTGAGTTTCTCACCGAATGCGCTTCTTCCCCGAACGTTGGTTTCATCGTTGTTCACTTGATCCGAGTCCAGCCGTCGTAGGTTCAGTGGTTGGGCGCCATGTCGCGGACTTGCCGGGGTAGATAACTGAACTGGGTATGAATCTTGATCACAAATTTATTGCTAGGAATTCACGGTGGTCCGCCACCTGTCACAATCATTCGTACACTCATTGTTTTTGATTTCTGTTCGCTGTCTGCTAAGCGTCGCACGACGCTCTTTTGAGCGGCGGTGACAGAGCCGCCGTCTCTAGTCTGAAGTTCGGGATTGGCGGGACAGGCTCCGTCGCCGCTTCCGCGCGAAATAGCATGCATGTCTTGCAGTCCTCCAGGCCGCCATCGCCTCGTCCGCAACTCGCCCGCCGGTTTTCCAACCGCTGAACCCACGCTCCCCGCCAAGCCGAGCCGCTGATCACCCGCCTGCCCCGCCGACCGCCGACACGCCGCTCGCCCCGTCGTCTATCGCCCCCCCCGAACGACGGCCATCCCACCGCTGCCACCATATGAAGCCACAGTTTGGCGTCGGAAAGAATACGAAACTGAATTTCGGTTAAATTGCCGATGCCGTCGTGGTCTCTCTCACCGTCTCGGTCGACGGTTGGTTCTCAACTGCCGCTGAACGTCCGCCGCTGCACGTTGCACGTCGGGGCTGCCCCGCGCCTCGGCGAACCTGACCATTGCACGACGTCTCTCGGCTCTCTCTTTATTGAAGCATATAAATTCTACCTAGATATGCGTCACAGCGTGAAGGAGAGCACATACCTCGACGTTGATATGAGCTTCAAACATCAGCGATAAATATGGGCAATAAGGAACGACGGAGCGGTTATCTACTCTATTTTTGTGACGTGTTATCGAACGGCCATCCTCACGACGTCGATACTCTGGATAACCTTCCGTAGAAAGCGATGTGTCGTTATTGAAAGTTTTGGGGAAGCGTTTTGAGCATTTCCCGTCAACCATGCATGGCGAAGAAGGATTTAGCTTCCCACACGGACCATGGATCATACACTTGGAGACGATTTCGTGTAGTGCGGCCTCGGTGGACGGATCGGGTATCTCAGCGCTGATCAAACTATCGACTTCTGCAGGGGTTCTGAGCTTCGAATCAGCCTTGAAGGTCAACAACATGTGCATGTGGGGTGAACCACGCTTCTGGAATTCGATCACATAAATATATTGTAGTGCTGACGTCTTTCAGTCAACACGCACAGGTTTTGGTAGGAGCACTCTTGTACTTTATTCTCGGAGCAGCGTCGGGGCTAGGGAGACCGCCGTGCTGTAGCGCGCGAGTAGAAGTGTTCTCTCCGGTCACATGCACGTCCTCTTGTAGGGATCCGCTGCCCTCTCCCCCGCGCGAGAAGCGCGCGGGTTTTCGGAAACAGAGTCGGGGCTATCCGTCAGATCTTTAATTGGAAACAGCGGTTGCGATCCTATAGCCAATTTGGTTGGGTCCTACGTAACGAGAATAAATCCCCCGGACATTTCCGGTTCTCTGTGTGGGAACCTCGGGGTCTCTCTTCCTAGTAATCCTCCAGCTAGCAACAATGTTTCTTCCAGATCAAAGTCTAAAGCCGGTCTCACATAACCCCCCCCTAAGGGTCGAACCGTCTCGGTTCGCTATTACCTAAGTTAGGAGTCGATGAGCCTAGTCGGTGGCTTCCTACTTCTTTCCGGGTTTCGTCGGGTCGGTGTGCTGCTGGTTGTCGCCCCGGTGTAAGCTGGTTTCCGGATTGACTCCTTCGGCTTCTTGGTGTGTTCTCCTGTTTGTTGGGTCGGTGAATCACGTTGTTGTGTTGGATCGTTCGGTGTTTCGGCGGAATCTTGCAGCGGGGGGAACTCTCGAACGAACTTCAGTCGGGACGAATGAACCACCTGCTTTTTGGATCTGGGTCCAGGGAGGGTCGCTCCCTGTTCCGCTTCCACTTCGAAGGTCTCTGGCCCCTTCTTCTGCGTTATTTTGTATGGTCCAAAAAATTGTTTCTGCAATTTATCTGATTGACCGACCTGTCTGAAGGGGTAGTGCAGCCACACGCTGTCTCCTTCCTCGAATGGTGTTGGGGTCCTCCGTTGGTCGAAGTTCAGTTTGTTCACGTCCTTTTCTTTGTCGGCCAGTTGGCGAGCGAGCTCTCTAGCTTCCCTTACTCGCGTTTGAAACTTTTCGGCGAAGTCCTGAGCCGTAACCGTTCGTGCTGTTGGCACCGCCGGTAGGAACGCGTCGAAAGTCGAGTCCGCCTCCTGGCCGTGGACTAGGTAGAATGGTGAGAACTTGGTCGATTTCTGTGGGGTCGTGTTGTATGCGTGCACTGCGAAGGGTAAAATATCGTCCCAGTCAGTCATGTTCTGGTTGACGTATTTGCTAATGATGTCAGCTAGTGTGCGGTGAGAGCGTTCCGTAAGGCCATTCGTTGCCGGGTGGTATGGGCTCGTTCTTCTATGTTCGATGCCGCAGTGTGCGTTGACTTGTTGGAGCTTCTCGGACATGAAGACCTTCCCTTGGTCGCTGATTAGGGTTTTCGGAGCTCCGTATCGCAGGATGATGTCGTTGACCAGGAAGTCAGCTACATGTTGGGCAGATCCATCCGGTAGGGCCCTTGCTATGAGGAATTTGGAGAGGTGGCAAATCGCGGTTACTATGACCCGATTGCCTCTTCTGGTTGGGTTGAACGACAGGAGGTCGATCCCGATGACCTGGAAATTCTTCCCTGGCGTTTCCATGTGTTGGAGCTCTCCGAATTTCTCTTTGTCTGTCCTCCTTCGTTGGCATTCCTTGCACGTCTTAACGAGTGTTTCGACGTCTCTGAATGCTGTGGGCCAATAGTACTTCTGTGCGATCCTTCCGAATGTGCGAGCGATGCCCAAATGACCTCCTTCCTTTTCGTGGTGTGCTGCCTGCAGTGCTTCCTGTCTGAGCTGTTTGGGAAGTACCAACAGCAGGTTGTCCCCTGTCCTGGAGAAGTTTCTTTTGTATAGGATGTCTTGGACCGTTCCGAAGGAGTTGGATCCTTCCGCCTTTTCTCTGAGCTTCTGTAAGGTGGGATCCTCAAGTTGCGCCTGGGCCAGGTCGACCAGGCTGAGAGCGTTGATGTGGGTTTTTGCCAACGGTGGGCCTGGTGGGAGAGCCGGGTATCGGGATAAGCAGTCAGCATCTAAATGTTTCCTACCCTGCTTATACATTACCGTGATGTCATGTTCTTGTAGGAGCAAGGCCCACCGTGCCAACCTTCCCGTGAGGTGCCTTGATGTCATCAACCAGCACAAAGCGTGATGATCCGTCACAACCGTCACCTTACGGCCGTAGACATAGGGTCTGAACTTCTTGACAGCCCATACGACCGCGAGGCCTTCCTGATCGGTCGTAGAGTACCTCGTTTCCGGCCCCGTGAGTGTCCTGCTAGCATAGGCGATGACTCTCTCCGTACCTTGGTTATCTGTTTGAGCCAGGATCGCCCCTATTCCATACTTGCAGGCATCCGTCCGGAGTGTGATCGGTAGTTTTTCGTCGAAATGGCCTAGCGGCGGAGGGCTCGTCAGTTTCCGGCGTAGCTCTTCAAACGCCTGTTGCTGCTCTCGGTCCCATGTAAATTTTGCCCCGTCCTTGAGCAATTCATTAAGGGGAGCTGCGATTTTCGAGAAGTTTTCGATGAACTTGCGATAGTAGGAACATAAGCCTAGGAAGCTCCTTACTGCTTTGGTGTTTTCCGGGGTATTGAACGTTTCGATGTCTCTCGTCTTGGTTGGGTCGGGTCGGATCCCTTCTTTCGTGACTTCATGGCCTAGGAGGATGATCCTGTCTGCTCCGAAGGAGCACTTCTTGATGTTAAGGGAGAGGTTGGCCCGGTCTAGGCAACCTAAGATTTCCTCCAACCTCTCGTTATGTTCTTGTATTGATCGTCCAAAAATGCATAGGTCGTCAAGGTATACGAGGCACTGCTTCCACTTACGGCCCCGGAGCACCTTGTCCATGAGGCGTTCGAAAGTGGCAGGTCCATTTGACAGACCAAAGGGAAGAACCTTGAACTCAAATAGGCCGTCGGGGGTTACGAACGCTGTCTCTTCCCTGTCTTGCTCGTCGAGGGGGCACTGGAAATAGCCTGATTTTAGATCTAGGGACGAAAATACGTTGGATCCGGACAGGCAATCGAGAGCGTCGTCGATCCTGGGTATGGGGTAGGTATCTCTTTTCGTTACTTTGTTGAGCTCGCGGTAGTCGACACAAAATCGGATACTGCCGTCTTTCTTTTTCACCAGGACCACCGGGCTGTTCCACGGGCTCGTGGATGGTTGTATGATCCCTTGCTGTTCCATTGTTTTGACTTCCGATGCTATGAGATCGCGTTCTGCCGGCGCATAGCGTTTTGTGTAGCGACTTCTTACCGGTCTCGCCACTCCGGTGTCAATACGGTGTACCGCTTCGTGCGTCTGTCTTGGCGGCTCGTTTTCCGCCGGTATGAGCCCTGGGAATTTCTGGATGATCTGCTTGATTTTTCGTCGTTGTTCTTGAGGTAGCTGCGGGTTGATGGCCCCTTCCAGCTTGGCGTCGAGAGCGTGGTGGGATCCTTGTTTCCTTGTCGTCGGTTTCTCTAAGGCGGCGACGGTTCGACTCTCTTGTCTCTCCGCCGTTTCCTGCCCGAGTGCTATGTGCATGCCTATGGGTAAAGTGATCCGTTCTTCGGTGTGGTTCTCGACGAGGACGATCGAATTTCCTTTTTGTAAGTTCACCAGAGCCGTTGGAAAGATGAGACTTTTCTTTTGCATCAGAGCCACATTCGGGCGGATAATGATCGTTTCTTCTTTACCTCGATATTCTGATGTTATACCGACCAGACTGGCTTCTCCGGGGAGAATTTCCGTTGTTCGAGCTACTTTGAACGTTACCTCCTGGGTGGGCACCGCGGGTGCCCATGGCGATCTCGGAGCCCCCTCCGTGCGGTTCGCTTTCTCCTCTTCTGTATCCCCTGTAAGATGGCTAATTCGGCGGCTGTTGTCTGACCGTTTCGTCGGAACGAAGTTTCTGCGCAGTGTGATAGAGTCGTTGGTCAGGTTGATGATGGCTCCGTGAGCCCTCCAAAAATCCAGTCCGAGTATGATGTCGTGGGTTAGGGGGTCAATGATGACGAACTCGCACGGGAAAGGGGCTCTATCTTTATTAGGTGAGATCGTTAGGGTGCAAACGCCCTTCACAGGAACACACATTCCATTCGCCACGGTGACAGACCCAAGGGGGGAACGCTTTACATCAACAGGGAGGAACGTAACATGCTTTCCAGCTAACAGGCTTGCCCTAACGGCCGACACCTCCGCACCCAAATCTACCAATGCGAACCTACTTCTTCCATCGCTAAGTTCGATCCGAACCAAATTCCCGTGAAAAATGGTCGCGACGTCATCGTCCTCACGGGGAAGATCTATTGACGTCGCGGCGCATTTCCCGGAGCCGTGGCGGATCTCGGTCTGAACGCCGGGCGTTTCGCCATTCGGTTCCTGCAAAAGCGCATCACGTGGCCGTTATGGTTACAATAATTGCAGATCGGGTCGCCCTCCGGTGTCCTTCGGTTGCCGGAGTAGAAGGGCTCGAACGGATCCTGATCGGGGTCTTCCTGTGAGGGCTTCGGTGGGGTCGTGAAGGGTTTGCCGCCGTTGGAGCTTGAGCTGGAGCTGGAGCTGATGGACAGGCGGTACGGTGTGTTGGTGCGTTGAGAGCCTGCAGAACGGTGCGATCGGGAACTGGTGGATGAGCTTCGGCTTCGGTTGGCGGGACTGGCTTGTCTCCCACGCTCCCTTGGTTTGTGCGCCTCCGGCACTGGGGAACGGCCCCGTTGGCTTTTCGGGGACGCGTGTCGGGATCGTGGTGCCGGGGAGCGAGACCTAGAACGGTTTGGAGCGTACTGACCCTGGGAGGAGGAGCGTTTTTCGGAGTTTCTTGCCTGTGATCCTGATTCCGGTAGACGATCCGCTGACTCTGTCGGCCGGATGTGGCAGAGATTGGCCGAACTGGTGCTGGGTCGGAGCGCCTTGTTATTGAGGAAGGGCATTGTCTTGTCCAGATCCGTGATCCTCTCTCGCAGTTGTTCCAGCGACGATGGGTAGAACAGGGACAGAACACAGGCGTGCATCGGTAGGAGCGTCTTCATAAAATTGCGTATGATCTTCTCTTCTGCCATATCGGCGTCGACCTGTCTACAGAGTCGTACTACCTGTTCGAACAAATGGGAGAGTTCTGTGTCCTCGTCTTGGCGGAGCAGTTCCAGTTTCCGGGCCGCCTGTTGGGAGATCCTCTGCATGTCGGCGAAGCGGCGCCGTATTTTCGCCTCAAACGCCGACCACGTCATGCAGTCCTGCTGGACGCTGTCGAACCACGTGCTGGCGACGCCCGTTAGGGAGGACTTCACTCGTTGGATCTTTTTCGTGTCGTCGATGTTATTGTACTGAGCTGCGTTGTTGAAGTCCTTGAGCCAACGTTCTCCGTCCCCGGTGCCGTCGAACGTGGGAAGATCCATCGGTAGTGGAGGAGCTGCGACCTGGACTGCTACCGGGGTCGGGCTGGGGGTTGTCTGCAGGGCCCGGACCTGCTCTTGGAGCGCGAAAACTATCGCCTGCAATTGTTGGTTCGTCAATAAACCCATGGCCTGACCTGGGATGGGCTGTTGAGGGTTTGGTATGGTGAAGAGCTGTTCCGATCCTGCCGAGTCATCGTAGGTGTAACCCGTGTTCTCGGTTTCCGTGGTGAGAGCAGAGGTTTGTTCTGGGTGATCCGTGGCGACTTCGTACTGGGAAGAGCTGGTCTCCGTCGATGGTGGAGGAGCGGGTTGACCTGACGTTGAGGGTTGGAGCAGCTCTTGGGGCTGCTGATCCACTTGCGGGTCCGTCGCGGACCGCGTGTTGTAGCCGTGGTGAGCTGTTGGAGCCGGTGAATGTTCCACTGGCATGATGAGCGATGTTGGCACGGTTTTCGAACCACAAATCTCCACCAACTGTAATGCTGATGTATTTCAATCAACACACAGGTTTTGGTAGGAGCTACTCGTGTACTTTATTCTCGGAGCGAAGCGTCGGGGCGTAGGGAGAACCGCCGTGCTGTAGCGCGCGAGTAGAAGTGTTCTCTCCGGCACATGCTCGTCTTCTTCTAGAGATCTGCTGCCCTCTCCCCCGCGCGAGAAGCGCGCGGGTTTTCGGAAACAGAGTCGGGGCTATCCGTCAGATCTCTAATTGGAAACAGCGGTTGCGATCCTATAGCCAATTTGGTTGGGTCCTACGTAACGAGAATAAATCCCCCGGACATTTCCGGTTCTCTGTGTGGGAACCTCGGGGTCTCTCTTCCTAGTAATCCTTCAGCTAGCAACAATGTTTCTTCCAGATCAAAGTCTAAAGCCGGTCTCACAGTATCCTGAACGGGGACATTAAGAAATGGCTGGCAGACTCCTTCATCAAATGGGAATTTATCACCCCCTATGCACCGTGGTTTGGCGGGTTCGATGAACGTCAAGCACAATCGGTGAAACGACCCCTGAGAAAAGTTCTCGGCTCAGCAGTTCCATATTTCCGACCTAGAAGTCATTCTAAGTAACATCGAGGCGATGATCAACAGGCGGCCAATCACCACTGTAGCTGCGGAAGCTGACCAGATCGAAGCCTTGAGCCCGGCGGACTTACTTTACGGCTACAAGAGTAAAACTTTCTTCCCGGAACACACACTCAAAGCGTTGAAAAACAACTTCTGGAAAAGGTTCCATAAAGAATACCTCAGCTACCTGCGTTCCGCCCACTCCAGGAAACCTCTGCCGACCAGACCGCTGAGAGTCGGAGACATCTGTCTATTAGAAGATCACGGCCCGAGCAGAGCCTACTGGCCACTTTGCAGGGTCGTGGCCCTCAAAGGAGATGCGAGACCGGAACACGCAAGATCATGCACGATCAAGACAGCAACAGGCCAGATCCTTGATCGGCCCATACGAAAACTATATCCCATTGAGAGCCCGAAGCCCAACTAAGCGACGAAAGTTGCCCAGTCACCAATTCTGTCCATGTTGCTTTCGAGTGGATCATCATCACGGACAGTCCTCCACTAAGGCAACCAGCGTAGGGAGACGGAAAAGTACGGATACGAATTTCAATTATTCACTCACGCTTACGAGACTCAGATTCTCAAAATTGGACAGCTCACCCTTCAACACGGAGATCAACGGAAAATGTCGTGTCGTCTGGATCACGACAACGACAAAAGTGATCTCGCGCGCAGAGCCGCAAATTCCCGCCAGGCGGCGTTCCGGCTGGTTCCAAACGGCGCGCGAGCTTGGGGCCGACGCGCTACCTGCTTACATCCACCGTCCTTGGATCCTTCGTTTGCATCAGAATTCCGTCATCTATGTCAATGCCGCAATTCGCGGGGGGGGTCTGTCACGGACGGGGCCTCCGTCGCGTGTTTCTCCGAGCTTGCTACACGTTCACATACACGCAGACAGCACACTCCCAATCAGCAAACAACTCCACACCTCACAAGAGATTGGGTCAGAGTCTGGTGCCATCTCTATATCATGTTGTACCGCCTAGGACGAGCAGTCCAAAGGAATATCATCTATTTTCAATAAATATCTGTGGAGTGCGTAGCGCATAGGTACGTCTCGGCGCAGCGCCAGTTTCCAGCTGTTTTCCAGTACCGGCTGGCGGATGGTCAGCTGATGCCTCACCTGGGTTGTACACCGCTGCAGAGTCAGTCGCAGCGACGCGGCGGCAATCAGCGATACTGACTGTCGCAGTATCAGATCTTATCGCCAACAGAGTATCCTTCCGAAGACTCTCGACGGAAGCCGTTCCTCGACAGTATATTTCCGGCCCCGTTATCAATTCAAATCATCATAGTGATAGTGTGGAGGGCGTTCCAATCCACCCCGTCCGCATCTTCATCCTCAGAGGAGCCCTGTTCAATCCAGGGTCCCAATTATCATCAAATTTATTTGCGCATCGTGCTCCACGTGTGATCCCGATCAGTTCAAGTCTGTTCTTTTCACTCCCCTGCGGTTCAAACCCGTAATGTGGTAGCGCGTAAGCCACATCGTTCTTCAGAAAACTCGGATAACAGCAAGCAATTGGAGCAGACCCCAATAATTATTGAGTTGCGCAAACCGTGTATGCTAAGAGCATGAATTCCTTGAGGAATTCACGCAAGTCTCTCGTTTCGGACTGTAGAGGTTATTGAGTTGCAGCAAGCAATTAAAGCAGAGACTAATAATTATTGAGTTGCGCAAACCGTGTATGCCAGCGTTTCTCAAAGTAGGGGGACGCGTCTCCCTTGGGAGACGCGCGAAAAAATCTGGGGAGACGCGGCGAGTTCTTTGTAATACTCCCATCCCGGACATATTCGGGACGAATTACCGATAGTCAGTAATCGCTGAACTGTCGCGCCGGTCAGCAAAGTCGACGCATCGCGTCGACGTGTCAGGTGCGCATGTCCGATGTTTTCGTAGAGCCACGTCCATTTTTTTCTCTACGCATCCGCTGATTTCGAACGCATCGTGCGACGGTGGAGTATGTAGATCGGTATGATTCGTCGTGATCAACTGCCCTCAAGAGTATAACCATGCAAAGGTGGCTCCTCAAAAGGAAAGCTGGCGACCCTCCCGGAGATTCGATGCCAACGTCGAAGAGAGCAGCAAAAATACGGAGATATAAACCGACTTATCTCTCTTTCGGATTCACGCGCGATAGAGACGAATCCGAGCCTCGGCCTCTGTGCGTGGTGTGCAACGAACGCCTGGGCAACGGAAGCATGCGTCCAAATATGTTGCTCCGGCACCTCCGGGGTCGACATCCCGACCTCACGGAAAAACCGCTGGAATTCTTTGAACGAAAACTGAAGGAGATGACGACTGCCCAGACGAAATTGACGAAGTTCACGGAACTAAGCGAGAAGGTGATGCTCGCTTCGTATCAAATCAGTTGGAGAATCGCGAAGACAGGCATGGCGCATACAGCAGGTGAAAACCTCGTTCTACCCGCTATCAAAGACGCGGTTTCCATTGTGCTCAACGAGAAATATGTGAAAGAGATTGAGTCGATACCGCTCTCGAACGACACGGTGGCGCGGCGGATCAACCAAATGGCGGAGTGGATCGAGAATGTGGTCATACAGAGAGTACAGCGTGTTAAGTAATCGAATGCTATAGCGATACAGCCACGCGGCTTCTGTTCGAGTATGCCGCCGAGCGTGCCCTTTCAACCCTTTCCGGCACGCCTGCTATCGATATCAATAAAAAAGGAAGAAGTGAGAGTTCCTCGCTCTGCTATGTACCACGATTGAGATCGTCTTAAATTAAGGAGGAATTATCTCACAAAAGTTGGTGCCGTGACGCAGGATTCGACTCCATCCCTCATTTTCTCGTGAGCGCACTTTCGGAGCGCCAATCAGACGATGCCGCTGATCGAACACGATGAATTGCCGGTTGGCCAAGCAGGCAGCTCACGTTCCCAGACATCGGAGCACGAGAAGAGTGAAAAGGAACGGAAAAATGAGTTGAAAACCCTACGACGCTTTCGTACTACTCGTCGAAAGCAGATGCAGGCTGAGCTCGCAACAATAGCTGAACTTTAGTCGGCAAATCCGAAATTTCCGGACCATCAGGATCCAGATCAAGTTGTGCGCCGGATCTCCCTTCATGCCCGGGCAATTCAGGATTGCAACAGAAAAATCAGCACGCTGATAGATGATGATGCTGAGTGGAGTATGGAGGGGCCTCTCTGTGAAAGTCATGACAACGAGGCTGTCGCAGCAATCGCCGCCGTGGAAATCGCCA